TATCTGCTGATCAGCTTTATCATTTATGGAGGTTTGCTGCATGCCTGGGGCTTTTGTTAAGGATGCTGTGCAGAGGCTACCAAGGATTATCTGGCTCTCTACTATACAGTGCTGCTTTTTAGGTATGTACCACACATACTGGCATGGGTAACCTGGGAATTATCCAGTGTGACTAGCACGTTCCAGAGGCATTGCTTAAGGGTATGAGCATCCAAGTGGTTTTCTCCATTATGTCAAAGAAGGACTCAACAGATACTGTGGTTGAACCCCAGCAGCACAGCTGCTGTTCACAGAAGACTTCTGGTTCCCACGAGCACAGTAAGTAGCCATGATGAGAATCTGAAGAACCTAAGGAGAGTGAAAGCTGGCAGAAAAAAATGCATACTGTTGAGGATATGCCTGCTGTATACCAGATTAGGGAGGACCAGAATAGGGAGGACCAGGTAAGGGAGTACCTCAACACCCTGAATCTATACAAGTTTGTGGGGCCAGATGGGTTGCACCCAAGTGTGCTGAGAGAGATGAAGGCTGATGGCATTGCAAGGCCACTCTTGATGGTCTTTGAAAGGTGGACACTACTAGGAAAGGTTGCAGATGACTGGCTCTCAGTCCTGCCTTCAAACCAGGCAAGGAGGAAGATGTACGAAGTACAACCTGGCCAGCCTCAACCAATCCTTTGGAAGACAGTGTAGAAAATCCTCCTGGAGAGCATTTCCAAAGGCATAAAGAATCATCAGCTCAGGGGAATTAGTCCTTCCTCTCCCCTCAGTGCTAGTGAGGCCACATGTGAGGAGTGTCTAGTCCAGTTCTAGGCTGCCCAGTACAACCAAGTTGTGGACAGACTGGAGTGACCCCAGCACAAGCTCTGAGATCCTGCTCTGAAATAGTGCTGCATGTCCAAGAGGCAGTTTCTGACACTGATACTTTCCTTCAGTGCCCCCTGCAGCTTGCAGCCACTCTGTGCCAGGGATGGATGCTGGCCAGCCCAGGGTCAAGAAGGGTGACCTGCTGCTTCTCACTGCAGGGCAAACGAGGGGGTGTCATCTCCATGTTCTATTCTTCTTACATCTCCTTGGTCATACCAAGGATACAGGCCCCCAGGACCAAAAACAAAATGAGAATGACAACTATTGTCTAGGTTTGAGTGCAGGTTTTTTTGCAGTTGGCAGCTGGCCTGGAGTAGAGGGTGAAGATGTAATGTGTTGTGGCTCTAAATCCAGCAGGCAATTTAACACTGCAGGGCTGAATTTGCTCTTTCTTTGTGGTTC